CATTTAAAAAAATCATCCAGGTCCACTCACACTCTTTTGAGCCACCCTATAGAAGTTAAAATATTTTCCTGAAATACATCCTGGTACATACTTTAGGTTTGCACCAAGGTTTGCACTTAAACAAAATTCTCAAGTTTTTTATTCTAGGAGCTACAGATGCCCGACGCACTATTGCCGGACCCTGTATTTAGTAACATTATAGGTAAAATGTTACCTCTATCTCCCATTGACGTGTATTTTTCTATAAGACTCGTCATGGTAGTACTTCAATACATCAATACATATAATCAAAACTATATTGTTGCCTGTAAATAACTAGAAATTATATATCTTGAAAGAAAGAAATTAATTCTAATAAGTTTAAAACTATTAAGAAAAAATCCGTAAATGATAATTTTTAAATTCTAATGTAAATATATTAATAAATGTTATTATTATTACAATTTTATATATTAATAATAATAATAATAATATAAACACTACCTACCGAACAAACCCAATTGGATTATCTATACGAATCAAACCTAATTAAGTTTTATGGCTCCAATCCCAACCTCAGACCATCACTTCCGAAAATAAAATACACAGCACAAACAACAACAATCATCGAGAGAGTTAACGCTATCCTATGTGATAAACTGAAAACCAGTTTCAATTTAGAAGAAATACATGTACATATATATACTGTGCGGCCCTAACTGTCTTACGCAAAAATGGTCCAAGATGTAGCCCAATCTGTCCTAAGGAAAATAAGTATACCAATCTCTGGGAAAAAGAATGTCTGACAAAATCAGCAGATTACATGTAGACATAGGTCGCATGCAACAACTTTCTAAAGGAAACGATAGTGAAACCCTTTTAAAGAAGATATCAGAAGACATAACGACTAGATTCCGTCAACTAAGCGGCCAAACCCAGAAAGACTTTGTTATCGATACTCTAAATTCATTAAAACAACAGCTAGCAGTACATACAGACAAACTCAAACGGTACAAACGAAGCCACCTACGACGGATGCACAACGCCCAATTCACCCAAAACGAGAGGTGCTTCTACCGCAACCTTGGAAATAAGGCAAATAAAGAAAACCCCCAACATCCAAATGCCATAGACTCAAACCAACTAAATCAATACTGGAACAACATCTGGTCGTCTCAAGGAGAGCATCAAATAAATGCCGCATGGATAAACCAGGAGCGTGAAAAACATCAGAACGTAATAATGGAAAACACAATAATTACCCTGCGCGACGTTGAAAGTGCAATCAAAAAATTACCTAATTGGAGAAGTCCAGGGCGTGACGGAATTCACAACTTTTGGCTCAAGAAAGTTTCCTCCACTTACAACCACCTAGCGAGAGAATTTACTGAAACATTGATTGACCCCAATAAAATACCCGTCTTTCTAACGGAGGGAATTACTCACCTTCTACCAAAAACAGAAAACCCAGATAATCCTTCCCAATATCGACCCATTACCTGCCTTCCATCAATTTATAAGATATTTTCAAGCTGCATTAGCAGTAAAATATATACCTACCTGGTCACCAATAACATCCTACACGAAGAGCAAATAGGTTGCAAAAGCAGGGCAATGGGCTCTAAGGAACAGCTTGTAATGGACTCGGTGGTTTTGTAGCAAGCCAGACATAACAAAAGAAATCTCTTCATGGGCTATATTGACTATCAGAAAGCGTTCGACTCCATACCACACAGCTGGCTGTTGCAAGTTCTAGAAATCTGCAATGTTGACCCCAAAATCTGCCGATTCTTTAAAGAGATCATGCCTTCATGGACGACCTCCCTCAACCTCAGGTCTGCTCCCTTTGACATAACATCGCCAAAAATTTCAATTCGTAGAGGGATATTCCAAGGGGATTCTTTTAGCGCCCTTTGGTTTTGTCTAGCCTTAAATCCACTATCGCGGATAATCATGAAACAGGTTATGGATTCTCACTACGAACGAGAAACAGACGTCATCTCATTACACACCTACTATACATGGATGACTTGAAGATATATGCTGCAACAAAAAACCAACTTGAAAATCTTTTGCGTACCGTTCGTAAAATCAGCGCAGATATGGAATGACCTTGGTACGAGCAAATGTCAGACTGTTTTCAATCATAAGAGGAAAAACTATGCGAAATGGTTTATATACACAATCAAAAAGGATCCCTTCAACCACTGTACATTATTTTCAGTTTAAATGAAGCATCTAGGGTAAGTAAATTATTTTTATATTAGAATACTATATATTAGCGTAAATTCACTTTCAATAGCACTGTTCAAATGGTGGTTAATACATATCAACAGGTAATTGTACCAATAAATTAAGTATTTTTATTTTATAAAAGGTCTCCTAGGTTGTTGTGTTACGCAGATGTTGATTTTAGATGAGAAAAACTATTATCTCCGCAATGTCGATGAGCCGTATAAATATCTTGGAATGCTACAAACACACAAAATAGAACATGGAATTATTAAAAACCGCCTATCGACCGCCTTCCGACTGCGACTTTACCTCCCTTCTAAAGACAGGTTTGAATTCTAAGAACCTCTTTAAAGCAATAAACACTTAATGCCCTACCGGTTCTTACATTATTCTTTGGAATAGTCAAATGGACCCATACAGACTTGGAATCCCTAAATCGCCTGGTACGAAACAACCTTAACCAAATTTAGAAATCACCACCCAAGAAGCGCTACGGAACGGGTGACCCTCCCTCGAAATCTTGGAGGTAGAGGTTTACTGGATGTTGTTAATGTCTGTCGGGAGCAAATAAAGAGCCTCAGAGAATACTTTTATACCAAGAACAGCAACCTTTACGTCACGGTGTCTTCAGCTGATGTCAAATACACCCCCTTGAACCTCAGTAGAAACAATATGGTGCTTTTCCAACTCCTACATCAATCACTAATAAAATAGCTACTTGGGGAGCCAAGGAGTTACACGGACGGTACCTAAATGAGCTAGATCAACATCACATTGAAAAGGTGGAATCATTGCACTGGTTAACATCGGGTTATCTCTACTCAGAAACCGAGGGATTCATAGTGGCTATGCAAGACCAAGTTATTCCAACACGCAACTACCGGAAACTCATCCTAAAGGAGAATATATCAGACAAGTGCCCTAGATGTGATTCTGGAAGTGAAAACATAGAACACATTTTATCAGGGTGCAGTAATCTTGCGAGTACAAAGTATCTGGAAAGACACAACAGAGTCGCATCAATCATCTACTTGGAGATCCTCAAACAATTCAACATTGACCGAGAAATCCAAGAGCCCTATACAAATATCATCCACCACCCGTAGTCGAAAAATAATAGTTTAAAAATATACTGGGATAAACAATCTTAACAAATAAAACCGTTAGAAGTTTGATACATACATAGGTTACGCAAATACACAGCTACTACATAAAAACACACCTTCTACATGACTACATTAACTACATGTAATGCCGGACATCACGCTTATAAATACAAAATTAAAAAAACAGTTTTACTAATTGATATTTCTATTCCTAACAACAACATATATACAAAGCAAGTTTACAAAAAATAACAAAGTATCAAAGATTTGAGAATAGAAATAAAAAATATATGGCAAATGGAATCGGTCCAGGTAGTCCCCTTTGATTGTCTCAGCCATTGAATTATCCCGGTCAACCTGAAAGAACAATTAAAAAGTAATTGGAATACCTGAAATACTTACCGCCTAATGCAGAAATCTGTGCTGCTTGATGCTGCTAATTTTTTCGTTCCTTTCTAGGTGATTAACAATAGCACCTCATCTTGTCCCCATGGACCGATAAGGCAGCTTTAAACCTGTTCTGAGCAGTGAAAAAAAAAAAAAAAAAAAAATAATAATAATAGATATTATTGAAGTTTGTATATATACAATGCAACAAATTTATACAGATGAGTTTAAAAACATTAATTGCTGGCATTTTATATGTAAAATTTATGGGGGAATGTTATCTGGATTGTTATTTCAAGCCAACTGGACGCCGTTTTTTATTTCGATCAGTAGTGGCTTGATTACAACGTCTCTGTGCAATCCGGGGGATTGCAAATCACCGACGGGACTCCGGGCCTTGCGAACAAGATTCGAACTTTTCAAGACTACGGGCCCCTAGAGCTCTTAAAATCGCGACTGCGGTACTATACTGATGTCTTAGTTTGATAGTGTTGCTATATTTTTAGTCTCTTCAAGAAGAATTTGAGTGTTTCACAGTACCAAGCAAAATAATAATAATATATTTATTGAAGTTTGTATATATACAATGCAACAAATTTATACAGATGAGTTTAAAAAACATTATCATACAAAAAAAACAACAATATAATCTTACAAACTACAAAAAAAAACTATTCATAATACTTTCATTTCACAATCTTCATTATCCTTCTTACCTTAATTTTGGATATTAAGATAAATCTGAAATTATAAAATTAATTATAGAATTTGTATTGAAACACTTAAAAAAAATTTCAACTGCAAATAATTCGAAAATAAACTGCAATTTGGCAACATCGACGATGTGCGCTTGCGTAGTATCGATGATCAAATGCAGCAAATATGGGCTTCAAGGTCAGCCACCGGATCCACACCTTTACTACCAATTAATTAATATGGGTAATACCTTAACATGCTTTTGTGAAGCCGAATTTTTATGCACTCTCACAATTTATGCTAGAGATATATTATAGAGTTAAGTCTCTCTGATTTTAACTAACACCGCCTTTACATTTACCGATTACAGTACGTTAATAAACTACATTTGGTGTAAAATAATAGTTACAAGTAGGTTTTTTACTTACGTAGGTATAGATCTTATAAACTTTATAAGATATAAGAATATAAGATAAGAGTATAAGAGGATCTGAGATTTTACCTAACCCTGATATATGGCATATGTGACCTACGATGATTATGGAAATGATTTGAACTATTTTTATTTTATTATTTATTATTTATTTATTTACATACATCTAGCGTGTAGGAATCTAGGTTTCCAGCTGATTTCTATGACTGATTTCTGATTTTTGATTTTACAGCACAGCCACAGCTTTTTTCTATAGTCAAGGCAGGTAAGACGATTTAGACGATTTCCTATTTGTGTATGTGGGGTTTAGATGAAAAGTTGGAGCTCGCGGTCTGTAGACTATTCCACTTTTTTAGTATTTTTTTAGTGAAGTAAGTTAAGTTTTTTAATGAGTCCTGTACAATTTTTTCTAGTGTCTAATAGAAAAAAGGCTAGACTAGATGTACCTATATTGAACTGCCTTAAGTCCACATATTTTTATAGCAGTTAACTATGGAAGAGCCCCAGATATTACAGAAGAAACTTTATTTTTTACTGGAGCAATTACAGAGTATGGCAAGCGAATTACCTCCGTAAGTATACAATATATTGCTTTGTAGGACCTTTAGATTATTTTCCTTGCTTCCTTCCTCTGATCCTAGTATTTTCTTTAGATCTTGGTATCTTCCATGACCACTGGTTTAATAGTTGAAAAATGGTGTTAACTTGGATTTCAAAAAGTTAGTGTCAAACAAAAATTTTACAAAATGACAGCAATCTTGGGTCTGGCACCTTTTAGGTACATCAAAACTTTAAAATTTTCTATACAGAATTGAGAAGAGGAACACATTACTAACAATGACATTTTCCTAACAAAAAGTGGCTGGATCCGTCCCCAAAATCAACCACAATAACACCAAAAACAAACCCCCCCCAAAATGTGCTAACCAACCTGCCAATCAACAACACTCAGTTACGCGCCGACGTGTTCTTTTACCATTGGTCGATCCCTTCAACCTTTTTAACACCAGATCACAAAAATAATAATATTTATTTTTTGTTGAAAAAAGTTTACAGCACCCGCTTGTCTATTTTTTCAAAAAATTATAAGAAAGTATAAATAAAACAAAATCCGGATTTTCAACATTTCATTGTTAACGCCAGCGATACAAGGCGATATGCGCAGACGCGAGCAAAAGACAAATAAACCAGAGAATAGGTACATTAAAGAAATGCTAACTTCATGTTAAGAAATGGAAACAGACGCCACCTGGTGTCGCCTGGCAGTACTAGCTAAATTGAGGGTAATTGGAGGGACGGGGCTTAAAAGAGGGGAAATTTTTAAAAAATAATATTTTAAATAAGTTTTTTTTTTTTTCATTTTTTTATGTGATGGTAACATATTTTGTTATTAACTTTAATTAAGATTTTTAATGTATTAAGAAATATAGTCTATTAACTTTACACAGGAAATCAATGATATTATTAAAGACCTTATTCAATTTTCAGAGAAAATTCACAGTAAAATTAAATTACAACATTAGTAAACAATAATCATATTATTTTTTAGAGCTGCGATTTGTATGTACAAATAATTATTGAAATATAGATATATTTTTTTTTAACATGAAAAAGAATATCCGGAAACCTGAAAAAGAAAGATGATCATTTAATGACTTAAATTAGTTCAAAATACATTTTGCAAAAAACTAGTGAAATTGGATAAGATAAACCATACTATTAAAGACATTTTAGTAGTAATGTTTTTTTTTTTTTTTGTTTTTGTATAAAAGTTCAGAGTAAAAAAGTAAATAATAAGGTAAAGTACTGCATAAAGCACTATGATACAACTACTACTGTATCATGATAACACACTAATTGGGACAAAAAATATATGACTAATTTAAATTCCTTTCTAAATGAACTAATGAAACACTATCTAGCCTCAATGCATGCCATTCCAAAGGCAAAAAAAAACTGTTTATAATAGTACGCAAATAAATATAAGCTGAATAAAACATAACCCAAGCCAACGTGCATAAAAACCAAAAAATGCCATCAAAAAATACTTTTATCAGATCATACCCCTGGATATCATTATGTATTTATATATATTCCGCACATCCCGTTCAAAAGTTTACTAACTCAAAAAATGAGAATATAGAGAAACATTGACAGGAAAAGTAAAGAAGAAAATTTAAGTTAAGGCATATGCTCCTTTTTGCATATTAATGACCAAATAATATAATGTTGATTTAATAAATGATTTTGCTGGCATCCTTCTGAGGTATAAATCAAAAAGATTAAACAGGGACATTGGTTTTTTTTAAATAATTGTTTGTTTTGTAAACATTTTTTGAAGAAAATTAAAAAAACGTTTTTTGGATACAGTAATACAGTTTTGAACAGGCTGTGCGATGATCTTACTATTATTTGAAGTTAGAAAGTATTTAAATAATATAAAACATAATCAAAATCATTTTTCAATCAAAGTTATAAGAGGTTCTTAACGTGTTTTGATATTAATTATCCAAGGAAATAATATGTTTAAGGTTAAAACAGGTACG